AGGCTTCTGAGATTTTCATGTTTGTTGCTTAAAACAGCTGTGTGTCCTGCAGACATCCTTGTCTCTTTCGGCCCTCGCATCCATATTAGGATCCATAATACCCTAGGAAGGAGTTTATTGATTTGATGAAGGCCTTGGCAGGTTTGGCATCACGGATGATTCCACTAAATTGAACTGGCATGTGTCTTTCTTCATACCACAGACACTCTCTCTCCAATTTCATCATTTCCTCAACTGTAGCCTAAACTGTAAAAAATTACCGTGAATTTATTGGTAAAAGACTGTAAAAATGCTACAGTAAAAACCTGTTAAATGGTTAACGGTAAATTCCCCTACTATATACGGTGAAAAACTGTATTGGACATTACATGTATTGGATTTTTTTACTGTAGTTTTATCGTTTTTGAAGTGAAACAGACCGTATAATTTACAGTGAATAACCGTAAATTGACATTCCCAGAATTCCCTGCATTACATTTCAAATTTGATGTTTTTTTGTTGAAATAACTGTTTCTTCTTAGTTTTGTCTTATCAGTTTTGTATATTAGGGTTGTGTGTTACACCTAATGTTGTTAAATGAATGTTTATTGCATTATTTCAGTTTCATGTGTGTTACCGTGATGGTGTTTAGTGTTTGTGTGAATGACGCTGTGCATCTTCTATATATGTTATTATTTAAAAGCTGCTTGTGATGGGCTTTGGTTCATCGTGTGACTTTCTCATCACCTCCTGCATTTGGTGGTTATCAGTGAATTACAAAGCTACAAAACAGATTTCAGTACTTCAACAGGTTGGTATATTAACATTGTATCAGCTAATGAAATTACGGTATTTAACTGTAAATTTAAGTTAAAACCGTAAAACTTAAAACGTTGCTACCATATTTTTTACGGTAAAATTCCGGCAACCACAGCTGCCGTTTTTTTACCGTAAATTTTACGTAATATTTTTTTACAGTGTAGAGCTTCCACATGTTATGGCCACTGGGAATACATCTCTTAGTCTCAGATGTTCAGGTTTTCAGACCACAGTTATGTATTGGAACTTTTGAACGGCGAGAGACTACCAAGATCTCAATTCTAACACATGCATTCTCTCATTTGTCTCCACAAAGTTGAGTTTTTTTTTTTTACTCCATTCCTGACTTCTGCTTAATTTTAACCTTTTTTTTTTTTTGAGTATCAAACAATGTTCTAGAAGCTGGTGGAAGGCCTTTTGGCCTCCCTGTCTACAGCATTATTTGTAATTCTATTTTCCAGACTGGGATTTGAATTAGCCGTCATCAGGATCTGGACATGTGAATCTCTTCAGTTTCCAAATTTAGTTTTTCATTATTCTCCATTATGTCATGGTTTTTGTGTTTTCTTTCCATGACCTCTGCCATAAATGTTCCACCACTCCATCATTCTCTGTGTTCATTTCATTTAGTCTTTTCACAGCGACTCCCTCCCTGTCCCATTATTACTCTTCCTGTTGTGGCTTAGATTTACAGATTTGAGAGAAACTGCAAGAGAAGTATTTCAATTAACTTACAGGGTTAGATCACTCGCACATGTTTGCTGATTTCAATACTGATGCACTTTGAAGTTTAATAATCACCCAAAAGTGTAAAAGTGTTTTCTCATGCATCATATTCCAAGTCCTCTGAAGGCATATCACAACCTTACTTTTTTTTTTTTACTTATTGCCTAATTAGTATCAAAAACAGTACTTCTATTTTGATACGTCAGAAAAGGCCCACGATCGACTCACACAAGCTCAGGTTGTTTGAATCATAAATAGGACACTTACTCTTAAATGTTTAATGACACGAACTGTTATTATCATACAGGGCAGCAAAGCAAAGGCCTAAGCAAAGTCAAGACCTGAGGCCTCACAAGCCCCACCCTAACATTACCTTTTTAACATTTTACTTCCAATTACACAGCATTAATATTAAATAGAGTTTAGTAAACATTTGCATAATTTGCATGGCGGTTAACACCAATGCTGCCTGCTTGACTTCTGAGAGACACTGCTACTCTGAGAGGCTCTTTTTATACCCAATCATGTTGCCAGTTGACCTAATAAGTTGCAAATTGGTCTTCCAGCTGTTCCTTATATGTACATTTAATTTTTCCGGCCTCTTATTGCTACCTGTCCCAACTTTTTTGGAATGTGTAGCTCTCATGAAATCCAAAATGAGCCAATATTTGGCATGACATTTCAAAATGTCTCACTTTCAACATTTGATATGTTATCTATATTCTATTGTGAATAAAATATAAGTTTATGAGATTTGTAAATTATTCCATTCCTTTTTTACTCACAATTTGTACAGTGTCCCAACTTTTTTGGAATTGGGTTTGTATTATAAAGGCAAAAAAAAGCTCTTTCTTGCTGGTTTATCTGATATTTAACATACTCTGATTGTATCATTGCCATGATCGTCAAAGGTCTTCTGCCCCACCCTATTTATAATGAAATATTGTGTGTAATCTGAGCTGTTCTACTGTAGTCTCATTAAAAGGTCACAAAAGCACCAAATACTTCTGAAGCAAATTAACCCTGATCTCGAGCAACTGGTTGTATTCACAGAGTTTATTATGACTGCGTACACTAGGACACCTGACCATTACTCAAACAGCGACTGCATTTTAAAAACAGACACATTAATACAGAGTCAGTCCCTCTTAGCAGCTATAACAGCTTCCACTCATCTGGGAAGGCTTTTCACAAGATTTTGGAGTATTTATGTGGGGTTTAGAGCATCAGTTCCAGTTCATCCCAAAGGTGTTGGATGGTGTTGAGTTCAGGGCTCTGTGTTCTTCCGCACCAAACTCATCCAACCTTTTCTTTATGGACCTTGCTTTGTACACTGGGACACAGTCACACTGGAATAGAAAAGGGGCTTCACAGAACAGGTTTCCACCGCTCCAGAGTCCAGTATCTGCGGATGTGAGGCTTACATGCAGCTGCTCAGCCATGGAAACCCATTTTATGAAGCTCCTGCCTTATAGGCTCCTAGTGCATCTATTTGGAATACAGATTTATAATATAATTTACTGCTGAGCCAGAAAAAGATTGAATTTGATGTCATGTCAACTAGTGATTACTTGAGGTATTAGTCCCACATTGGAAATTTTAAGGCAGGTTAATTAAGTTTACCAGTATAATGTTCCTTAAAGGTTAGATTTTTGTGAATATTTTGAGCAAAATATGTTTTGCTCATATTTACCAAGGATGCCAATGTTAGAATTTTTAAGATTAAAATAGCTAGGAAACTATAAGAAAATAATAATGCATAGGCTATTAGCATGCTAAATAATTTTCATTAAGTATTAGATACTCCTTGAGAAAAGCAGCAAAGACATCCATGTGTACCTCAGCCAAAGCAAAATCTTTAGTCCTCACACAGTGTAATTAAAAAGAGCTCTAAATCCCAATATAACTGAATATTACCCAAATTACTATCAAGTCTCCCTTTTTTCTTAAAGTGCCCCTTATGGATTTGTGAAAATTACCTTTCATGCAGTGTGTAACACAGCTCTAAGTGAATGAAAACATCCTGCAAAGTTTTAAATCTGAAAGTGCACCGTGTATAAAGTTATTGTCTCTCAAAAGAAAGAGTCGACTCTGAATCATTGAAACAAGTCGTTTTTAAAAGAATCCCAAGCTGTTTCATGTTGACGTGAACATGAAACATTAGTATATTGCCCGCCCACTTGTTGGTCTGAATGAAAATGCAAATTCATTCTTTGCCACTAGGTGCCGCTTTTGGAGCAGTAAAAATTGCGGTTTCCCCGGTAACGCTATATGCAAAGCAGCACTGAGCTCACAAACGCTGCTTTATCAGGCATAGCAGACGAGATGAAATGAAAATGAGACCAATCGGACCAATCACAGCAGATTAGCGTCACGCAAAGCAGGGGTTTGGAAAAATGATTCATTGAGAGAATCTTTGGGAGTCGTTGAGCAAATAAGGTAAAAAATAAATGCATATTATTAAAACAATGAAAGTGTTTTTTTTTTTACCTTGCATGCATGTCAACCTCTTGTTGGGGTCCCCCAAAACCAAAATATGAACCTTTCATAACCCATAATAGGGGCACTTTAACTTGCTCAAAACCATATTTCAACATTTTCACTTTCCTCATCAAGTCCTATGGAAACTACAATACTTGATTTGGTTCACATTTGCCCTACTTAATTTAATCTAGCAGACTGCACATTTTAGAGAATTACATTAATTAAAAGCAAAGAAATTACAAGAGAAACACAATTTTGTTGCGTAGATGATAAATTATATGATTGAGTAAACTGGATCTGTGTTTTGCAGTTGTTTTCAGTGAAAGCAGGACCAACAGCTTGTCTAAATTTGCATTTTATCAGCACCAGACACACCAAACAACAAAAAAAGGATTACTTAGTTAATAAATATGAATGTGCAATAAGCCTGCTTTGTACAAATAAATAAATTATGTTACCAAAGAACATAATATCTGTTTATAACCTTTTAATCGTCCTTTTCTTCTTCCTTCTCTGTAACATGGTTGCATGATGGCATATAGGCATTGCTTAGACATCATACCAGATCATGCACATAAAAAGATCTTTCCATTGTAAATAAATAAATATGTATAAAACATTTTTTTAAAAATGAATAAATGTAAAAATAAATAAACATGTAAGACGATGTTGAGTGAATGAAATTTCCACCCCATTGCTGATATTGCAGAAGCTATTATTTATGTTTGTAACCAGCAGAGGGCTCTGGGGCCCCAAGTATTCGCCTAATGAATACTACCGCCACTTTATACAATACAGTACAGCCTAATACTCAATATTCTATAAGAATATGTTGGGTTGAGCAGGAGCTAATGATTGACAGCAGATCACGTGCTAGAGTTTCTCTCTCGTGTCACTCGGCGTGATGATGATGATGATGATGATGATGATGATGATGTGGAGTCTGAGGCTCACACGCATGAATCAGAGATAGAAGTGATTGAGTTGTTTCCTGGAGGGATATGTGATTCTGTCTTCACCTTTGCTCTGAACTTTTATTCTCGGTGGAAACGAAGTCAGTCCGGATGTTTAAAGACTCGTGGGAACTTCTTCTGCGCCTGGAATATTTCCTTAATTACAATAGATTCTAGATTCACGAAGCAGGACTGACTGAAGGTAGAACTCGCAGCGCAAAATGTGCGAAAAAAGCGGCAACCACTTTGGAAAAGACGTTCTTCAGACAGAGCAGACAAAAACCACAGATGCAAACTTTGATCACGTTGAAATCTCCGAATGCAGATACACGAACACTGTATGTAACACTCGTTTATACCGGAGGCGATGGCTCATTTTGTGTCTCTTTAGCTCTTATTCGCTGTGCAACGCGTTCCAGTGGATCCAGTACGGAATCATCAACAACATCTTCATGAAATTCTACAACGTCTCTTCATTCGCCATCGACTGGCTGTCAATGATCTATATGCTGACTTACATCCCCTTCATATTTCCAGTGGCATGGCTGTTGGAGAGGAAGGGGCTGCGGGTGGTCGCCCTGTTCGCAGCCTCGATCAACTGCGTGGGAACGTGGATCAAAGTGGCCAGCGTTCAGCCCAACCTGTTCTGGGTCACGATGCTCGGACAGTTCGCCTGTTCCTTTGCGCAGGTGTTCATTTTGGGAATGCCGTCTCAGGTCGCGTCCGTGTGGTTCGGATCTGATGAAGTGTCCACCGCCTGCGCCATCGGCGTGTTTGGAAACCAGGTGCGTAAAAGCGCACGGAGCGCATCGCTGCACCGCCACAGAAACACAGAAAAACTGTCGGCCTTCTTTTAAGTTACATTAATCAGCTGGACTAGATTACACCAAAAGCTCGACTTTCCCGAATAAATAGTGCGCCAAATAAAAACGAAAACTCGTGGTATTGATACGCAAAAATGGACTTTGGCGTGTATATGCTACGCGATGGGTATGTTTAGGGTTGTGGGGTAGGTGCGTGCGTAAAATTGTATTATTCATTAGTTATGCGTTTCATCAGCGTTTTCAAGCAGCATTAAAAAAAAATTTGGGAATGCCGTCTCAGGTCGCGTCCGTGTGGTTCGGATCTGATGAAGTGTCCACCGCCTGCGCCATCGGCGTGTTTGGAAACCAGGTGCGTAAAAGCGCACGGAGCGCATCGCTGCACCGCCACAGAAACACAGAAAAACTGTCGGCCTTCTTTTAAGTTACATTAATCAGCTGGACTAGATTACACCAAAAGCTCAGGTTTTCCCCGAATATGTCTGCACACATAGACTGTGCAATTCTTTTGCCATTTTAAGTGCATTTTGACGTTACGCATAGAAACAACCAACCCGATCTCATGGAAGTGCGTATAAATAGTACGCCAAATAAAAACTAAAACTCGTGGTATTGATACGCAAAAATGGACTTTGGCGTGTATATGTTACGCGATGGGTATGTTTAGGGTTGTGGGGTAGGTGCGTGCGTAAAATTGTATTATTCATTAGTTATGCGTTTCATCAGCGTTTTCAAGCAGCATTAAAAAAAACCAGAAAGTTAGATTACACGTTTGACTCACACTAAATAGATACTGACGTAGGCTAGTATATAGCAAAACGTTTTCTTTTGTTTTAAATAGCTGAATCTGGCCGTGCCCCATAGAATTCATTCAATAATCATTATTAGTCTACTTGGGTGCCAAATTATAGCAGGCCCTATATAGCAAACCTGAGAACATCAAAACAGTTTTTCATGGCTTTATGAAACTATCACATTATATATGATTGCTTGACCATAAATGACAGTAGGCTATGAAGTAGCTGCAATATAGGTTGAGCTGTGAGGTATCTCTGTATAATAACACAGATATACACATAGCTGGCTGTTAAGAGGCTGTGATCTGGGTCTGCATTAAAGGAAATGGAGATGTTTAGGTGTGTTTAATGCAAATGACTAACCTTGGGCATGCAGAATCCTCCAAATTCATTCATGTGCGAACAATGTGCGTATGCATGTGTTGTGACTTGGTTAGAATAGTTGTGAAAAGTTCTCCTGTGCATGTAAATTCAAAATGATTCAGGCAGACTGTTAAAATGACCCGTGCTGTTTATCATGGAAGACGCACAAAACCAGACAATCACTTTTTTTTCAGTTTCGTATGATTTTTAGGTCAGTGAGACTGAGATTATGGTGCAGTTGATTTTTTCCCCTTCAGCTTGGCATTGCTATTGGTTTCTTGATCCCGCCGATACTTGTGCCCAACGTGGATGACATGAATGAACTGGCTCAACACATCAGCATCATGTTCTACATCTCAGCCGCTGTGGCCAGCCTCATCTTTCTGCTAGTCGTGTTTGGTAAGAACATCCACTCCAGCAGCATAAATGAAAAGCTAACAGGACTGATGTAGTGACAAGCATTTTTAATCAGCATGTAAAATCTGTTAATAAAACCTACTCTGCTCTTTAACATAAAAATGTGAGTGCACCACGGTACTTTATGGAATAGCTCTTTAATTCATACACTGCTGTTATCAGCTTAAATATGGATGCCAAAACCTGCTTAAATACATATATGCATACATAGTATTTGATTGCTTCATCATTTATTCCTTAATTCTCTTGTTATTGCATTTACTTTTTTTCTGCAGGTTTGGTTCTCTCTATCTGTTGCTATAATTCTTAGACAATTTATATCCGTTTTGAGATTTGCTTTTACAAAGTCATTTGTGTCTACTGAAGTTTATGAAAATATGAAAATTGATTATATGATTTGGTTTTGACTTCTTGGAGGAAACACAAGCAGAACCAACTTCTGTGGAAATCATTCAATAAATCAAATTTGATATCTGAATGCAATAATTTACATAAGTGGTGTTTACAAGCACTTAACTGCTCATGTTTCATGAACAAGGCTCAATGATTTGCCCTATGATGATATCCTTGATTGCAATCATTTTGAAAACAGGGTCATGTTGATTGACATAATGTCCATTTCTGGTTTAATCAGTTACTGTTTAGAGTTGTGTTTTTCAGTTTCTTTTGTGGTAATCAAGTTTTTGAATGTGCCATTCAGTTTTTCAGGAAAAGCCTGAAACCCCTCCGTCTCTGGCTCAGGTGGCGCTCAGAGACATGGCCACCACACAGTACTCGTACCTGGCTTCAATTGCAAGACTTTTCCGCAACAAGCCCTTCATCCTCCTCCTCATTAGCTACGGTACACACTGCTAATTCTTATTCATACACTTAATAACTTAAAGCACATTCTGCCTTTGCATGTTTAGCACAGTATTTCTGCAGTATTGTGCTATTATTATCTAATAGTAGTATCCTCAGTGTTAACTTATAATTTTCTTATTATATTTTTTGTTATTTAAAGTATGAGTCCAAGGTAGTGATAGTGTACATACAAAGTAACTGACTAAAATAAAAAACAATGAACACATGCTCACTTAATGGCTCTGCTCCATTTAAATGAGTTGCCTTTATAGTCAGCATACTTAAACCCCCCATAGGCTGAAGTGTCCTGTTCATGTATTTTAGCATTTTTAATTAATTTAACGTGCCCCTATTATGGATTTGTGAAAATTACCTTTCATGCAGTGTGTAGCACAGCTCTCAGTGAATGAAAACATCCTGCAAAGTTTTAAATCTGAAAGTGCATTGTGTATTAAGTTATTGTCTCTCAAAAGAAAGAGTCGACTCTGAATCATTGAAACGAGTCGTTTTTAAAATGAATCCCAAGCCGTTTCATGTTGAAGTCAACATGAAACATTAGCATATTGCCCACCCACTTGTTGGTGTTTTCGCATTGGTCTGAATGAAAATGCAAATTCATTCTTTGCCACTAGGTGCCGCTTTTGGAGCAGTAAAAATAGCAGTTTCCCCGGTAACGCTGTACAAAGCAGCACTGCACTCACAAATGCTGCTTTATCAGGCATCACAGGTGAGATGAAATGGAAATGAGACCAATCACAGCAGATTAGCGTCACGCAAAGCAGGGGTTTGGAAAAATGAATCGTTGAGAGAATCGTTTGGGAGTCTTTGAGCAAATAAGTTAAAAATAAATGCGTATTATAAGACAATGAAAGTGTTTTTTGACCTTGCATGCATGTCAACCTGTTGTTGGAGACTCCCAAAACCAAAATACGAACCTTTCATAACCCATAATAAGGGCACTTTAAATTATTTTAAGTTAAGACAACTTTATGTAGCACTTTATACTATACAGATTGTGTCAAAGCAAAACAAAATCTGTAAAGCAGCTCTAGGAAGAGTACAATAGTAAACAGTCAATTTTCCAGTTAAAGTCAGTTCATCATTGATTCAGTGATGTCATCTTCCAGCTCACTTCAGTCCTCTTCCAATAGTGTCTGTGCATTCAAGTCCATAATATTGCCAAATAGTGTCCCCAACTAAGCAAGCCACAGGCAACAGGGGCAAGGAACCCAGACTCCATCAATGACAGAAATGGAGAAAATTTTTTATTTTTATTTTATTAACACATTTGAATACTGTTTTAAAAGGTAACTGTCTGTATAGAAGATAGAAAGCACAGCAGCTCACTTTGGACCAGAATACAGAGATAAATAAATAACTGTCGGTCAAACTACGTTTTTTGTTCCATTTACTTCCACTTACTTGATATTCTCATCTTTTGTATCTAAATAGTGTCAGGTATATCCCAAATTCCAAAAGAAAAAAAGAAAGAAATGATATGAATATGAATATTAGATATGAATATGTCCCTCCAGTCTTTGTTTGACTGTTAGTGATGGCAGAAAATCTATCCAGCTTGTGTTTGGTTTAGGGTTATTTACTAGTTACCTTTTATGCAAACTTTATTGTTTGCTGTTTAAAATAATAAGTACATGTAACTCTGTCATGTTACAATAAAGGGCCTATTGGTGTGGAGGTTATTGCACTAAAAAATTAACTTCATTCTATCGAGCAGCTCATCGAGGATCTCCTCCTGCGGCAAACGGAATTACTTTCCCGGTTAGCGTGTCTCGAGCCTGTGGGTAGCCAGCGGCTTTTGACTTTGGCCTTGGATGCAGTCGATGTCCCTAGTTGGGACTCTCCTTCCTGGGCATCTGTTGTCAAGGGCCGTAAAAGATTTTCCCTTCCTTTCTACGATTCGTCTGGTATTGGTGGTGATGACATGATCTCATTGACATCCCACTCACAAACTTTTTTCTCCCTTAGATGAGCTTCCTCAGGAGCCTGTCCTCTCTCCAATTTCGTCTACTGCTCACGGTCCGATACATGTGTGGCCGATCATCAGAAATTGCCCTACTTTTTCTAGTTTAAATTGATCGGGTTCGCTATCTCCTACACCAGGCCCTCCCGGGTGCAAACGTCCCCGTTTGTCACTTTGTCGATTGGAATCCGAAAATCAGCACCACAAGGCGGCAGCTCCAGCGACAACCCACCTGCTACAACTCTATTGCCTTCTTCCTCGCAAGCATCAGATCGGGTTGATCACTCAACTTACTTGCACTCTGTTAGCTTGACAACGACTGGTCACAAATTCAGATCTCAGCTTTCAATTTATAGGATCCCCTGAAAGTGAACGACCTGAGATTTTAATTGTTGGAAATTCTATCATCACATTTGTAAAACTTCCTGGTGTAACCACCTACTGTCTCTTAGGAGGTAAGACAGCTGACTTTATTGAACTGATTCCAGCTCTTCTTGATCTTCATTCATCTGTTCATACTGTCATTCTACATGCGGGCACCAATGATGTCATGGCTAGGCAGTCCATTAAACTGCACCACGAACTTGAGTCTCTGGTTTCTATAGTTGAATGTCTGGGTAGGAGGTGTGTTCTGTCTGGTCCTACTGTTTCCATGACCAAGAGCTCTGAACGTTTTAGCCGTCTTTTTAGTTTGCATTTGTGGATGCAAAATTTTACTACTGCTACTGGATGGGTTGCATCCTAATAGGAAGGGAACAGAAAAGTTGATTTCTAATTTTATAAATTTTATTGCCTTTAGTCTCAAATGATGGTCTCTCCAGCATGACCCTGTCCAGTGTTTTGGCTCTGCACTTTTTAGTCCTGTCTCTGACAGTGCGGGTCCTGCTGGTGCTGGTTGTAATTCTGCTTCCCTCACTTAATTTATCCATTCCCACTAGGATTACTGAAAGGAAATGTGAAAAAATTAAGTCTACTTGTAGCCCGCACAAAAATAATCTCATCACAGTAAAAACCATGTCTTATATCCCTGCAGCTATATCAGTTCAATTATCATAGAGTCCTGGATAAATCCTGATGAATGTGCCCCCCTCATTGAGTCATCCCCCCCAGGTTATACGTTTTTTCTCCAGCCAAGACTGACAGGCCGAGGGGGAGGCCTCGCAGTAATACACAGAAGGGATTTTAGCTGTTCTCCAGTTTCATTTGGTTGCTTTTCTTCCTTTGAGAGTCTTATTTTTATTTTAAAGAATAAACTGCTTATTTTATGTGTTATAATCTAACGACCTCCTAAATCTATTTCCGGTTTTATTCAGGAATTTTCTGACTTTTTATCTGTCATTATGCTGCATTATGACAGAGTTCTTATTCTCTGCTATTTTAATATCCATGTTTGTTGCTCCTCTTCTTCGTTTACTTCTGATTTTATTAAACTTCTAGACTCTTTTAATTTGACTCAATATGTGAAGCAGCCTACCCATGACAAAGGGCACACGCTTGACCTCGTGGAGGATGTGAAATTGATTGATTTTGCCATCTCTGATCATAATTCCAAACCCTCTACACTGATTTGCTCTCGCCCTTTAAACTCACTCTCATTTTCTCGCTTCTGTCAAGCTTTCACTGCCTCTAATTCTCCTTTTAACGCTAGCCAACAATCTGACTTCTACGTAGAGGAGTTAGTTAGTGTTTTTAACAGCTCTTGTAGAGATATTTTAGATATTGTAGCTCCAATTAGAGTAAGAAAGCTGAAACCTTCTTTGCCATGGCTAAATGAAGAATTTAAAAACTTTTAAGAAACTATGCAGGAAGGCAGAACGGAAGTGGAAAAACAATAAACTTAGTGTCTCCCTTGTCTCTTTAAAAAATCTGATGTTCACTTATCAGTGTAAAGTTAAGGAAGCAAGGAACACATATTTTTCAGACCTGATTACTAAACAGGGACATAATCCAAGATCACTGTCACGAGATTCGCTCGGAGGAACGAGAGAAAAACGTGGAGTACAAGCAATAGTCTTTAATCCAGAAAACATAGGGGAATATCCACAATGGAAATGGCAGGAACACACAAACACAACGAGTAGACCCGACAAACACTGAACGCAAAGGCAGAGACTTAAATACAAAGGATAATGGGGAAACACATATATAATCTGTGTATAATAATCAAACTAAACGAGGACAGGAACATGACCAAATAAGGACAAACAGGAACAGAAACCGGGGCAAAACACAACACAGACAGTCCAGAATCCTGACATTACGGAAGGTGTGTCCTCGCGCCATAGAAACTACATGGGGAGGGGTGGGTGGGAACTTGGGAGGCAGCTCAGGAGGAGAACGGGCAGACTGAGTCCATGGGGGTGACGAAGGAGGGAGGAGCCAATGAGGAGACAGGAGGGGCCTGGAGCAGAAGTAGCCAAGCTGGACCCAGGCCACATCCATTACGGTGGCAAACGGTGGAGCCGACGGAGGGAGGAGCCATGGAGGAGGAATGGCCGCCGACAGAGCAGGTGGTGGAGAAGCCCGAGGCGGAGACAGAGAGCCAACAAGCCAAGGGGATGCTGATGATCCGGGGGGCCAGGGTGAAGCCGAGGGCTCTGGTGACCGAAGCAGAGGTGGAGATCCGGAGATCCACGGCGGAGCCGGAGTGACTGAGGACCAAGGTGGAGCTGGCGGGAGGAAGGAGCCCAACAGAGCCGGTGGGACGGAGCAACGAGGTGCAGTCAGAGGAGCAGAGTCCAGAGGCGATGGCGGGTCGATGCCCGACCAAGGCGAAGCCAGAGGGACGAGGGAGCCTGGTGGAGCTGGTGGATCGAACTATTAGTTTTAGTTAACTAAAATAACCATGACCTGCACAAAAAAGTGTGGTTTTTGTTCCTAATATTTGGCTCTGGTTGGATGCTGCTTATACTGAATGCAAAATTAATTTAGACAAAATATATAAGTTGTGCAGGATGTGTGAAACTTTATGCATGATTGGTGCTCCAATTTTACGGAAATCTGCCTTCTTAAATTCTACAGAAATCTGCGTAATTTAAGTTCTTTGATGTATGTAAAATGTGCAGGACTGTCCCAAAAAATGAAATTAAAATTGTGCTTTCTTAAAATTGTCCACTTTCACAATTGAAATGTTACTTTGTCTTTAAAACTGAAGTGTCAATTCTGTGACTAGAATCGTCAAAATTAGAATCACAAAAATAATGTCTGTTTTCAAACAGGTCTCCCAGTTGGGCTGCTTAAACAACCAGATTGCAATCCTTTTTCAATTCTGCCCATAGTAATCTACACATTTTCTAACTATCAATTTGTCATTTTACCCAGTTTGAATCCTTTGATTCGTATTTATTTGACAGCGCAATTCTCCCTTTGTTTGTGTTTCCCAGGACTGAATGTGGGATGTTTCTACGCTGTTTCCACTCTGTTGAACAGGATGATATTAGAGCATTACCCTGTGAGTCCTGCTGTCAACATCCTTGAGTTCTTATCATCCTCATCCACTCTACAGACACAGGATAGCAGTAGCTGAACCTCGAAATGATGCGTATGCACTAAAAAAAGCATCACACTATTGCCATGTTTTTTTTTTTGTGTGTGTGTGGTTTTTTTTTTTGGTACGATTGTAATAGCATGGCATTTTTTGAAGTACCTTGAAGTACCATGTACATATCATGGTCATCTAAACACCGTGGACTGAAGTGCATGAGAACATGGATATTAAAGATATCTCAGATGTCATTATTGTCTGAAGCACAGGGTGAAGAGGTGAATGCTGGGAGAATTGGCTTGACTCTCGTCATCGCTGGCGTGGTCGGCTCTCTGCTCTGTGGAATCTGGCTAGACAAGACCAAGACTTATAAGTAAGACATGCATTTTCTATTGTTTCATTTCCCCCTGAGGTCCACATATCATGATAGCAAAGTTTTTTATTTTATTTTTATTATTATTTTAATGTCATATTGTGTTCTGGTCATTTTGACCTGGAGCATCAGACTAAAACTTATTTTGCTTCCACCCACCACCCAAAAATGTATATTTTTGTAACTTTTTGGAATTTATTTTCCTCACATAATGACCTGCCTACAAAAAAAATTGCTTATAAATTAATCATTATGCTATTTTATTACGAAATATTGGATTTAGTCTTTTTAATTTTCTTTCAGTTAGCATAGGATTTGTACTTTTTGCCTCACAGATTGTAGGCCAAACTGATCTCTTTGAGAAGATTTGATTATAATATAGCATAAGGAGAGATTTGACTGCAAGCACTACATTCGGTAAAGGATCATCAGCAGAACACAAGGTTAAAGCTCCAAAAACAGTAGTTTGAGATTGTGTTCATTTTTTTTGTCTAATATTGCATGCGTATTTGTGTAATTTAGTAATAGTAATAAACATTAAATGTCCAGGCATTTAAGTAACACGGCTTATAACAATTTTACTTGAAAAATATTTTTCAAAGTTGTAAATAGATAATTAATGGAGTACCTTTTACAACAAAATGCTATTTAAATTTTCAACTTAATTAATCAGTCTGTTACTTGCCTTTTTTGTATTTTTTTTGTGAAATTTACTAGCAATTTCTGAGGGGAAATTGTTTCAAAATAAGCCCTACACCATTTTTTAAAAAGTGTAGATCTTTGATAGCGTGACTTTTCTCCCCAAGACCTTTCCTACAGTAATTTGTTAAAACTCTTAACTTTGACTCATGTTCAGCAGCAGAATGCCTGTAATGCGCTTTCCTCTATAACAGTCTCTGTTTCTCCCAATATGGTCATGTGTGAGAGGATTTACCAGGACAGATCAGCGGTTACTGGGTTTATTACTGACCTTGATTCAAGAATGGGTTTATGGAGAACACTCTCTGGTCTTTACTCTCAAACCTAAATATGTGCTTTCACCCTAAACTCCAAAAAACATACCAATAAATACAATTCTCTTCAGTTTCCAGCTGAAATGAACACTACAGGCAGTAAAACACCTACAATTGTTATTCCTTTTCACACAAATGATTACGAAGGTAGATTATCAGTTAATAAAGATTTATTTTTGCTCCTTGCACATTACTATGTTATGACCTCAAAACCACATATTGCATGATTTTTATGCTTTTCCGACATAGTAAACTTACCTGGTACAGCATTGCACTTGTGATTGTGATCAATGACTAAATGTAAATGTGATTGTACTCAGGTACTCGAGTCCCGTGAAACATGAGTTGTGATCAAAAAAAGCTTATAGACTTGTAGAAACAAGCTAAAATGGCATAGCTGATTTGTTGACACTATTAGGTTTAGTTGGTATTTTAGTTTAATATATAATAGGGAAGTAACCTTTTGGCATCACTCACTG